TGGTGCCAACCTCGTGTTACAGGAGTTTTATGTTGGTAAAATCCATGGACTTCTGTAGACTTACACCTGATTTACTACCACATGCCATTCGATGTGGTTGAGGAAGAAACAAATTTAAAAGTGAGTGCAACTGGGCCAGGCAAAAGCTCATAGATCAAATCTAGGCCAAGTCATACAGTGGTGTCTTGAAAGGAAAAGATAGAAACTCAGGTTCTTCCTTTCTCTCTTTGATGTGTGCTCTGTGCTTTTGAGAGCTCTGTGTAATGCTGCCAATATATAATGTTGCTGATTTTGCACAGAATGACAATATATGAGCCACCAAAAGGATCAGGCTGGAGAAGAAATAATAGCAAAGAGGATAAGCAGCTCAGGCATTCATCTTTGTGCAGTATTGCTCAGTGTTCACCTTACTTTTGACCTTGGCATAATGGTTGAAATAATTCATGCATATGGCAGATGCTGTAAGTGATGAGGGCGCTCAAAAGGGATTTTTGCGTGGTGTGATTTAAAGAATGCAGTCACGGCATTCCCTGAATCTGGCTATCAGGTGTCCTCATTAAGCTTACAATTATATTTATCCATATTTCTTTGCTTGTAATTTTAAGTTCAAATTCCACAGTTACTGGTCAATTATTTCAAGTTAGTTTAGAGCCAAACAAAACCCCAGCTGATTTCAGAAATGGAATTTCACAGAAGTAAAACGTGAAGAAAGACATTCCCAGATTGGAGCAAGTTTAGCTTGTAGCCTTTAGGGAGGCTGGGGACAGAAGCTCTTGCCCCATGAACACACTGAGCAAGTGGGGCTGATTCAGCCCTGGAGAAAAGATGGTTCAGGGAGGGCCTAACAACAGCCCCCCCAATACCTACAGGTTGATCGCAAAGACAGAGCCAAACTCTTCACAGTGCCAAATGGTGTTAGGATGGGAGACAACAGGCACATTGCAACCAGAGGTTCAGACTGGATGTAAGGAGGAACTTTCTTCCTATGGGGCAGTGGTGCAGGCTGCCCAGGAAGGCTGTGCTGGCTCTTTCTGGTGGGTTTTGAAGCTAGACTGGGCACAGCCCTGAGCAAACAGCTTGGACCATGTAGTTGGCTCTGCTGTGAGCAGGATGTTGGTGTTGAGACCTGCACTTCTGTTTACCTTGGATTATACAATGACCACATGATTCTATATCCACATAGTGTCTGTGAACAAGGGCTCTGACCTGCTAAGTCAGCTATCGTGGCCAGTATGTCCCAAAATTTCATTTGAAAACTAAAATAAAGCTCTTCAAGCTCACTTCCATATGCTTTCAAAAGGAAGGAGAGGCTTATGTTACTGCAGGCACAAACTGATTATTAGTGAAAGCTTAAGTATCGATCAGTTGGGTCTTTGTAACCAAGTTCAGTAACCTTTGTAACCTTATCCAGTTGAAAAGGTTCACTTAATAGTAATGAAGTCTAACTTTACAACACTAAGTTGGTGGATTTTGGGGGTTTCTGGATTGGGGTTTTCTTCCCCCTCCAAATAATTGTAGAGAGTTAAATGTTTTCTATTGTAAGTTTTGTGACTGGGGTATTTTTATGACCTTTCCACTAAGTCACTATGCAGACACTTAGCCTAACATCTTGGAATGCTAGATTAGGAAGCTGGGCTATGAGAAATAAATAGTTTATAGTTTGTGGAACCAGAAGAAATTAGTTGGATCCACTAGAACATAGTAAGGAATTTGTTTCTTTCATTGAATTTGTGCTCTTTCACACACATCTTTCAGGTTTTCCTGGGCTGCCCAGCATTAGAGCCATTGTCTAAATAGCAGCTCTTGCCTCAGTTGCTGTTAAAACAGAAGAGTGCAGTCTGTAATAGGTTTTTGCAGTTGACACATCTCTTGTATCTGGAATAATCAATCAGTGAGTCAACTGGGCTCAAATCCCATCAAGTCCTATCCCACCCATTTTACTGGTTGCTTAGATTCTAAGGGATAACAGTGTATTACTTGTGTAGACAGTTACTAACTTCAGAAGGACTCCGAGTCACACCTCTTTCCTGCCATACCTCCCTGTGGAGGTGTCCAAGCTGTGCAAGTCACTCTATACTCTGCACCTACTCTAGAAAATTCACAGGTCACCAGCCTTCTGCCTCCCTTCCTTTCTCTAGGCTGGCAAAGTCAGATATAGGTAATACTGGCAGCATAAATGCACTGTATTTCTGTCTGACCATCAGTGATAGCCTGAAGTAGTGAGAGAAGAGAGGGATCCTCATCCACCTGTGCTAAGTTATAGTTTGTCTATGATAATTTATCTATGTCTTACCTTTGTGTCACAGAGTGAACCTACCATTTCTTTGTCATTTTTATTTGTTTGACCACCTGATTTAGTTAGGAAAACGCTTTATTCTTTGCTTGACCAGTGTAAGTCTAGTGGTTACTCACAACAAACCGTTTTGTGAAAACTGTTTTTACTATTCCTCTTAAATTTTAAGAATTTTATTTTTAAATTTTTAAGGACTATCAATGTCAAATAATTGGGGGGGATTTTCGATTGTTACATTAAAAAAAAAAAAAAAAAGGCTTTTCATGAAACATCCAGGAATATTTTTTTGCATTGAACTATTGAAATTGCCCAGGTAGCATAAAAATGGAAGTGAATTTCAAAGGGTGAGAATTACCAGAGAGATTAGTAACATGAAACCTGATAGTACAAGTGACGTTTCTGAGATTTTTGGAATAATGCCATGAATTTCTCTTTCAGAAGTGAAAAATTGCTGTGTACTTAGCACCCTAGGCCTATTCTGAGGTTTTTCCTTCCTAAGGAAAAGGTTTCTCACAGAGTGGATGTGCCCTGTCCTTTAATACTGGTGGTGCAGGGAGGGAGTTCAGGTTGCTACTCTTTCTATCATCTGAATTGCTGCTTAACAGATAATAATGAACACTGGATTTTATTATTATTTTTTTTTTTGCAATTAGTCCTTCCACTTGGCTACCTATTTCAAATTCCCTATTAATTTCATAATCAAGTTCATTGTTGGTGGGTTGGACCAATTTCTGTTTATAGATATGCTTATATGACACCTGCTGCAGTGTTGGAAATCTCTGATAGTGTAGAGGGTGTCTGTTTCTCACACCATGATAGATGTAATATATTGGGTTTTTTTCAAGGGTGTACTGCTAAGGTTTTTTTTAAAAAAATAAAAATTAAGAGATCTGATGAAAATTACTGCCTGTGAATTGCAAGCAGTGACTGGTTTGCCTTGCCTCTCCTTTTCAGCCTCTTACATTATTAATCCAGCCCAACTTGAGCTTTATCTGCTTGTTAAACCATCCTGAGCTTTGACACAAAGCCTTTTCCTCTGCAGCACACTGTCAACCTTTCTTTATCTCTGAACCTAGTGAGTCCACCAAAGAGAACATAATTTTTTCATACCTGGCTTATAGCATCTTAATTTTACTCTGTAATATTATCTAGTATTCATTCTAATATTAATTCATTAAGCTCAGAAACTATTTTTGAGTCTGATTATCAGGTGCTTTGTAAAATAAAATACAATTATCCTGAACTGTGTTGTTTTGTTTGTTACTTTACTCATAAAACACTATCAATCATGTCTTTCTCTTTTTAAACCCATGCTGGTAATGTTTCTCATATAATAGACAAGCCAGGTATGAAAGTAAATACAAAATGAAAAAAAATTCCCTTATAAAATGATGAAGCTTTAAATTGATCTACTTGAAATTTTTGAAGATTTCTTGTCTGGTAAACAAAGCTGTACTACGTGACTTGTAGTCCATATATGAGGAACCAAGAAGGAGAGAAAAAAGATACAGATATGCCTAAGAAAGGACCAGCTTTTTTAGGAAAAGGCAAAAATGATTCTGTAGTTGAGACTCAAGTGATCCAAATAGGCTTAATAAAAGCTTATTTAAATTATGGGATAAATAGGTATTGATATATGCTGAAATCTGTAAGAAAAAGATCTTTTAAAGGGGATGCATTGAACTATCTGTATTCATAGACATTGTGTGTCATAAGTTTTAAAAAGAACTACTAGCTAAAGTGCTAAAATGATATAAAACACAGAGAAGATAATAATATATTATTGACTTTGCTGCAGAGCAGCCCAGAGATAAATCATCTATTAAGACTTCTGAATATTTTAATCTTTAATCCTGATATATCACCACTAAGAGCACTAACTTTCTGCCATTGTCTGTATCAATGATGGAAGTTTTATTACCTACATCTATAATCATAAAAGACTTTTGAAAATCTTTTCTAAGATATCATGTGAATCTCAAAACTGTTACTATGTCCTTACTGGATTAAGATATAGCAGCTTTTAAAAAATCATTGATGTTTTGATTATCAAGAAATATTCAGAATCCTAGGAGTTGGAAGGGACCTTGAAAGATCATCTAGTACAACCCCCCTGCCAGAGCAGGGTCACCCAGAGCACATCACACAGGAATGTGTCCAGGTGGGTTTTGAATGTCTCCAGCGAAGGAGACTCCACAACCTCTCTGGGCAGCCTGTTCCAGTTCTCTGTCACTCTCACAGTAAATAAGCTTTTTCTAATGTCTACGTGGAACCTGCCATGTTCCAATTTGCTCCTGTTGCACCTTGTCCTATCACTGCATGTCACTGAAAAAAGCCTGGCTCCATCCTCCAGACACTCGCCCTTAATATTCTAAACATTGTTGAGGTCGCCCCTCAGTCTTCTCTCCTCCAAGCTAAAGAGACCCAGCTCCCTCAGCCTTTCCTCACAAGGGAGATGTTCCACTCCATCATCTTTGTGGGTCTGTGCTGGACTCTTCCAAGCAGTTCCCTGTCCTTCTTGAACTGAGGGGCCCAGAACTGGACACAATATTCCAGATGTGGCCTCATCAAGGCAGAATAGAGGGGGAGGAGAAAATATCTACGGATTAACAAAGAGCTGTTTGTATTTGCAGACACAACCTTTGCTTGCCTCAATATTTCTGCTTTTTTTTTTTTTTTTTTTTCCCCCAGGGCACAATATACAGCTATGATAGCAACTGGAGGAGTCATAACAGGACTGGCTGCCTTAAAAAGGCAAGACTCTGCCAGATCTCAGCAACATGTAAATCTTGCCACAGCACCAGCTACTGAAGAGAAGAAACCAGTTAAACGCCGGCCCAGGACAGATGTGGTGATTGTCAGGGGCAAAATCCGGCTCTATTCTCCATCAGGATTCTTCCTTGTTTTGGGAGTGCTTATCGCATTTTTGGGCATTGCAATGGCCATCCTTGGATACTGGCCCCAAAAGGAACAGCTTTTAGGATCTGAAAGTAATCTACCTGTAAATGAAACCCAGGTCCTGAGAAGCCAAGGAAGCATTTTACTTCGTTTCTTTGAACAGCATATGCACTCAGATAAGATGAAAATGCTGGGGCCCTTCACTATGGGCATCGGGATCTTCATTTTTATTTGTGCAAATGCCATTCTGCATGAAAACCGTGACAAGGAGACAAAAATCATACACATGAGAGACATATACTCCACTGTAATAGACATCCACACCCTGAGGATCAGGGAACAAAAGCAGCTGAGCGGTGCCTTCACGGGCTTGTTGGGGGAAGGAGAACTTGGGCACAGCGGGAGTTCCTGTGCGTCCCGGCTGGCTGCAAACACGGTTGCACCTTTCTCTGGCTTCAAGAGTCATTTTAGGATGGATAGTTCTGCGGAAGAGGATGAGATTATCGCAAATGAAGACAGGACCTCTGGTAGCCTCCTGCCACCTTTGCTGACTGAGCAAACTGGTTCAGTCTTTGGACTTTACCCTCACTCCAGCAAGGCATCAGATGACAAAAACACTAGCTCTATGAAGTGTGAAACAAAATCCATTGTATCATCTTCCATTAGTGCTTTCACACTTCCAGTAATTAAGCTGAATAACTGTGTTATTGATGAGCCCAGTATAGACAACATAACTGAGGACTCAGAGATCAGTAGGAGTCGGTCTAGAAATCTGTCAATGGATTCTCTGGCCATTCCTCTAACTGATACCAATGATTCCTACAGACCAGCTGCTGTCATGCTGCCACGACACAATTCATTTGTGGACACTCCATCAGATCAGTTCAAATCTTCTATGACTCTTGGGCCAAGCACAGGAAAGCTTTTATCTCCTGGGGCTGCCAGGAAGCAGTTTGGGTCCAACACATCTTTGCATCTTCTGTCTTCACATTCAAAGTCCCTGGACCTGGACAGAGGTCCATCTACACTCACTGTACAGGCTGAACAAAGGAAACATCCCAGCTGGCCCAGATTGGATCGGAGCAACAGTAAAGGTTACATGAAACTAGAAAACAAAGAGGACCCAATGGATAGGTTACTTGTGCCACAGGCGGTGGTCAAGAAAGACTTTACTAATAAGGAAAAGCTTCTTATGATATCAAGATCTCATAATAATTTGAGTTTTGAACATGATGAGTTTTTGAGTAACAACCTGAAGCGAGGAACTTCTGAAACAAGATTTTAATATTGAAATTGCAATTTAGATTATGTCATACAGTATTTTTAAAAAAAATATAAGATTTTGACAAGTGTTTCCTTTTCAGTGAGACTAGTATAAGCCTGTTTTTAACCAAATGCTTACTAGCCCATTATAACTGGCTTGTGTGAACAGAGATCTTCATCTTTGTAATGCCAAGAGATTTTTGTCTTAGTAACATACAGCTGCAGTACTGTATATTATAATTGCTGAGAGAGTTTGGGTACAACTGATTCCTGTTTCTCCCGAGTCATTATTTCTTTTCTTCTATATAAGCATGTTACTTTTTATCAATTTGACTCCAGAACCCTGCATTATGAATAAAAGTTCCCTTTACTGTAAGTTCAGTGTACTTCATGACTGCAAGAGTCTAAAACCAGTGCTTGCAGTCTAGAAGGGGGAGTGAGCAGCAGCACATCCTGGAATTGTCAAATCCAGGCCTTTCTCCTAGCTGTTGCCTTCTACACATCGTACATCTTGGTAACTGCAGTTTTGCCTTTGTGAGTGTGAGAAACTTGTTTACATATTGGGGTGGGTGGATAGAAAAGAGTGGGTATAATTAAAACCATTTTTGTGAATTCTTTGTAATTGGTCGAGTTGAATACCAGTGTTGTGAATTATTGACTAGGCTTTGTACAATAATCTTTCTTCATCTGTTATAATTTAATCTTGTAATCCCAGGAAAAAAGTATATGAAGTAAGAAATTTGAAAATTCTTCTGGGATTAGTTCCCTAAACCACTTTGATTGGCAGCAGTTTTAAAATCATAGCACAGAGAAACAGTTAAAATCATAGGAACATGATGAATGCCAACAGGATTTTAGAAACATGGTGTATAATAAGATGATATTGTGACATGAATTTGAAAAGAATAATTGAAAATTAATTTATTGCCTCTCATTACAATAGCAAGAAGCTAAATAAGTAGATCTCTTATGTTCAAAATTCTGATACAAAGCATACAGTTCAATATGTATACTAACATAATATGACAACCCCTTGCAAATTTTTATTTATATATTTAATTATTGCTATGATGGTTCACTGGAGGCTTAGCTGTGTTAATTTGCATTACAAGATTGTGCAAAAGGAAGTGACATTTAAAACAATTCTTTTCTCAGCAAAGCAAGCTTCACAGTTGACAGCTGTAGGCTATTGCTAAAGAAAATGAGAATTTAAATGTGGATACCAGGAAGTGTTCATGTATTTCATTAAGGCATTTAGGCTGTGATCCTGCCATGACAGCCATGCTAGAGAATGTCACTTCAGGCTGCAAAGTTCACCTAACAAGATGTTGGTCTTAATTGGTCATTTTTGATATATTCACTTAAACTCAATACTCAGGAATTATTTGTAGTGGTTTTTCCCAAAAAGAGTCAAACCTGTTGAAATGTTGTTCTTCAGTTACTCTGATTATGAAAGATGAGAGGTGAAAATACCCTCTCTGGTTTGTTATTTTTTTAGCATTCAGCTCCATATTCCAACTGTGTGATGTTCATGTATCAGGATCATTACTTGCTCGGTGAATTGAGGCATAGTATTAACTCTTAGAGCCTCAAGCCTATATATTGTAACAGAGTTGGCTAAATATTTTGCTATGAAGCTTTTAATAACTTCCTGGTTTGTGTTCTTAAGACATTTGCTATTTTTTGAAATAAAATAAGCTGTCTATCTAAGTATACCCATTGCAAGTCCTCTTTTTCCTTTACAGTCTCAAATCTCCCATATCAGAGTATAACTAGATATTATAACATTTTTTGTATATAACATTGTGCTTTAATGTATTAGCCTGCCAGTAGGTATTTGGCTATGACTAATAGATTTCAATGACATCCCTACACATGAAGAGCCTGAATATTTTTTTAATGCAATGTGAAATATATTCAAAGTGTTATTCATATAAGGAAATTTTGTATAAAAGAACATCCTGTTCTTTTAATTTGGCAGAAAGTATTCTTATAGTAATGGGAAACACTATTGAAGACATGAATGATGTAAGCTTTTATTTCCTTAATAGCTACATTAAATCATAGCTTAAAAGCTTCTTTTTGGGTACCATCATATGTGGGAATGGTGAACCTTTTGTAAGTATAGTAGGGCATGACCTTTTAATTTTAGCATAGATACCTGGAACTGCAAAATGTGTTCACTTTGGAAAAAATTACCCATTTGGGAGACCAAGGTAAAGCTACTGGCTTAAAGCAAGAAATCAAAATAGCACCTTATAAAGAAACTTGGTGGTTGAAAGACCTACTCAAAAATATTCCCAAATTGCCCCCAAATGGGATATTGCATTCAGATAGTCACGGGATGGCTGAGATTGGCAGGGACCTATGAAGGTCATCTTGTCCAACCTCCTTGCTCAAGCAGGGCCACCTAGAGCTGGTTACCCAGGACCGTGTCCAAACAGTCTTTAATAGCCCCAAGGAGGGACACCCCACAAACTTCCTGGGCACCCTGTGCCATTGCTGAGTCACCCTCAAAGTGAAAGAGTTATCTGATGTTCTGAGGGATCCTCCTGTGCTTTAGGTTATGCTTGTTGCTTCTGGTTCTGTCCTCTCCTTTCACAGCCTGGCTCCTTCTTATTTGCATCCTCCTTTAGGTGTTTACACACACTGTTAAGATACACCTCAGCCTTCTCCAGGCTAAACAATCCCAGCTCTCTCTACCATTGCCCACAGGAGAGATGCTCCAGTCCCTTCATCATCTACGTGGCCTTTCCAGGACTGGCTCCAGTATGTCCATATCTGTCTTGTACTGAGGAGTCCACAACTGGACTCAACACTCCAGGTGTGGCCTCAGCAGTGCCATGTAGAGGGCCTCTCAGGTAGGCATCTTAATAATTACATATGGATTAGACTGATGTTACTGTCTATCCCTCCCTCCTGGGTGCAGCTGTTTCACTCTACTCATTTATTGGGCAAGTTTCGTCAGGAAATAAAGAGCATGACTCTGCTGTGGTAGAGCAGAAGTGCTGGGTTACCTTGTCTCTTCCAGGATTGCTTCTGTATATTATGTGAAATGGCTGCTGGACAACATCCTTGAATCAGGAACTGGATTCTTGCCAGGTTGGTATTTTAACTAGTCCCCTGAGGAGCCCAGTTTATGCTCCCTGTGAGCCAATCATCCTAACCCTTCAAAAAATCAGCAGGAGGGAGTTCAGCCCGGAGTTCAGCAGCTCAAGTTGCTCAAAGGGCTTAATGGATGGGCAGGTGTTGGCCCAGGTTTTCTCAGCAGCAAAAGGACTTGGGCATGGTGTCACCCGTCCTGATGGCTGCCGTAAGGCTTAGGCTGTGTAAAGGGCAGAGTGGCAAGCTGGCACTTCCAGTCTGGTTTTAAAAGTGCAACTTAATGTTAGAATAGAATTTTTGAGGCTTCCAGTTTTGGAAGAAGGCATCTACATCTCTCCCACCTCATCTATTAGCTATGTAATTTTTTTGCAAGCATACTAGAGTGCCTTTCTCGGACCTGGAGCTAATTTTGCTTACCTTTAAAATGCAGCCATTACTTGTCCTTTAGTTTCTGCTGAGTGAAATTTAGGGAGCAGTTTTAACCTACATTATCCGTTTTGTCTATGAGAAGCTTTTCAGGCAGGTTGTAGAGTTCCTGGATTGTTTTAGTCTTGCGCTCTGAAAGGCAAGATTGTTCTTTTCAGGAGTCTTTTTCTGATTCTTTCCAGGAACTTCTGCCTTTGTCTCCCCAGCACTACCTTTTTTATTTTTGTTAATATTCCTGCCAAATATGGCATTAAGATGAGCAAGTAGAGGTATTTTAGGAAGACTGTGTGTATGTATGTATGTGAATGCAAATGGAAGAAATAGTCTGTTATGATGTACGAGTGCTTAAATTAGTAAGATACAACACTCAAAGACAAGTTCATGCCCTTTGTTTAAACCTTTTCAAATTAAACTCAGGAGTACCTTAAATGCAGTTATCACAGCTCTCACATGTTTACCTTTCAGGTCACACTTATTAACTATTTCATCAATGTTCTTTGTATGACAGTGTTGAGTTGTTTTGTGTTTTAGCACTCATTATTTCAAATTGACCTCACTGGAGTATTTTATGCATTCAGTAAAGCCCAGTTTTTTAATAGTATTATTTGTGTGAATGATGGCTGGAAGAATTGCAACCTGAGTCTTGTAAATAATGGAAGTCTGATATTTACATTGCTTTTATTTTAGAATAGTTTGTTGAAATTGAAATAGAAGAAGCCACTGTATTAAATAAAAAGCTCTATGTCTAATCTGTTGTCTTGCATTTAATTTAGGTAGATAAAGTGTCACAGTTTGACTCAGGTCCGACAACAATGCTCTCGATCCCCCCTCCCCCCAACCCAGGTAGGGCAGGAGAGAGAGAAAAAGAGAGAGACTTGGCTGGGTTGAAAACTAAACTACACAGCTTTAATTAAAACACTAATGAATCATACAAGAAAATATATACAATTATGTACAGATATGTTCAGGAATGGGCAAAAGCCTCTCGCCTCCCCCAACCCCAGCAACTCCCACAGCACTTCCCTGAACTGGGAAGAGTCCCGAGGAATCCCGGAGCTGCTGCTGGAGAAAGCAGAGAGTTATGGGGGTCAGGAGAGATCAAGGCTGAGGATCGACGGTGACGGATGAACAGAGCCCTCCCAGGACGCCGGCCATGGACCGAAGAGAAGGGGAGAAGAAGAAGGAAGGAAGTTGTCTCCTGTGATCTCTGACCTTCCTCTGAGCTTATGTAGATATATGGAATGGAATATCTTTGGCCAATTTTGCTGTCCATCTAACTCAGCCTCCTACGGGGGGGTCACAGATCTCCCCATAGTGTCTGAGCCGGCAGAGTGCAGGTGCAGCCTTGAAGCCTCAGTAGTTAGAAAAACATTCCACTGTCTTATCAGCCTAGCAGAACACGCTGTTGCTAGTTACAAGAAAGCTTACTGAAGGAAAAAAAAATCAGCAAAAAGAAAAATTGGCTTCATCCTGGCTCAAACCAGGACATAAAGCTTTAGAGGGGAGTAATTTACTATCACTGTGAATTGTCCATAGCAAAAATCATAAAACCATTTTGGTCTCTTACCAGCTTTTATTGCATCTAGTGTAATTATTCAGGATGGCATTCACAGAAACACCTAATCAATTTCTGAATCTTACTTGGCCCTTCAGTTTACTAATATTGTTTATGCAAGGTACTGCAGATGAATTATGAGCTGCCAATAAATGTATTTCCCTTATCAGTTGGAAGTTCTTATCAGCACTTCAATTTTGTTGCAATAGCCATCTGCTCTCCTATTTAAAAAATGTACTAGTAATAACCTGATATCTATTATAAATATATTG